ATGAGAAGGGGTATCCAAAACAAGATTTTTTTTAAAATTGGGACTTCTAGATGGCCGGAAATAGCTGGGATGGAAAAACTAGGACTATTTTTTTTTGTTTTTTTAGTCTAAATGCCCGACGAGCTTTGGTCGATGGGTGTGGAGGCTTGACCAGACCAATGGGGGGGGGGAGGCTTAAGCCCCTGCTCTTCCTCCACTGATGGCACCACTGCTGAGCTTAGGCTTGGGCCCAGGTGTCTACATTACCTGATCGATTTCTGAAACATGCTGATGTTTTGAGCCATAAGCCTACAGTAATATCCAGTATTTAATGCAATGACTCCAAAGTTTTGTACGGGATTTTGCTGCTCACTCATTTTGTTGATTTGTTGACATGAGAAGCACTGCACGGTGACGTAATGAAGCTGCGAAACAATCTGTTTCTTCTACGGCCTGACACGATATTTTTTTAAATCTGAGCGCTGCGGTACAGTTTAACAGATAGGATTTATTTATATTACGATAAGCAACTCGCGAAACAGGTACTGATTTTCGGTGGTTTAATTTTGCATTGCTATCTAATATCCAGCCTTGAAAATTAGCGGAATGTGGTCATGACATATAGAAACCCCAGTGTATGAGATATATGCACATTCCTGCCAGCGGTTTCAGATAGGTGAACTTACACCGGGTCGTTTAGTAGAATTTATATATATATTGCACTGGGTCGATTAGTAGAATTATTATAGATATTAAATGATTTAAAAATGATGTTTTATCTTTTATTTTATTTGTTTTAGTAATTTCTTTTAATGTTATGTATGGATTTTATTGTTACATTTATGAAAGGATATAATGACTGACTTATAAATACTATTAATTGCGCTCTGAAAGATTTTTTCCCACAAATCTTACAAGATAATGTGTGTTTTTTTCCTTCTGCAGATTTCATACCTTTCTTTTTAGGAGCTGTGCACCTGCATCTAGAAGAAGTTGCAATATTAGTGGATGTCCAAAGTGTGCAGCAACATGTAGAGCTGTCGTACCAATCTGTAAAGTAATCACTTAAATTTAATTCTTACAGTTTCTTTCTTTTCACTACAATTTAAATAGTAATATTATGCTTTTGTATTGCATATATATATATCTGTCTCTTATACACATCTAGATGTGTATAAGAGACAGGGTATGTATTCTAACATATTAATAACTAATATATTCATAAAATCATCTAAAAAACACAAATAAATTACAAGTAGGACTTGAATGCATTAATATGATTTTTAGTGAACATAAATTCATATTTGACAGAAATTAAATGAAATGAGAGTATACTGAAATAGAAGCAATTCACAGAGCAAAGTCTTCATGTTTTAAGTTCCTCATCTCCTTTTGGCAATCTTTTAATCTAAAGAAATCTAATCCAATACAGTAAAAAATTAACAAAGAATGAATTTAATGCTTCTAATTTTTCATCAGTTCCTTCAAATGATTGGGTACCAAATTTTAGGTGGTAATGTTGTATTTTTATTTTTCATCCCTAAAATGTTGTTGATGGTTTTCTATGTAAATTTAGAATCCTTTCATTTTGTTCAAATTGGTTTATAAAAATTAGGGGAAATACATACATATTTACATATAGATTCTCCAATACATTCAGTGATCCATGGATATTTTGTGCAATAGACCTTACAAGCACCTCCTTGATAAGCACCTACAGTACATGTATCTATTGCCTATTTAAGTGTGCCTGTGAATTGTTGATATAGGCTATATTTGCATTTTAAGAAGCTAACTGTTCCCATTTTTGATTATTAAGTACAGATTCAAAGATTTAATAACTGTTGTTGAGAAATATCATGTTTGACAGCATCTGAGTGAGTGGAATTTAAGTTTACAGTAAATATTGTCAATTATAGTGGAGGTATTTTCTGTAACTCTCGCAAGCTGACTAAGTAAAGGATGAACGACTGAGAGTGGATGTTGCCAACATGTGATTGAAAAGAAGGGTTTGAATTATATAGATTAATACAAGAATCACCAGTACTATATGCTTCTATTTTTATAGTATTAATAATCTGCATAGCTTTAGATAACAGCTCATTAAATTGAAGTGTGCATAATATTGGTGGTCCATAGACTACGCCAGAGTATGGATTTCTAACTACAATTCAATTTCTAGTAGTATGCACTCAGCATGAGCAATCAATGAGAATAAAAAATCATCACACATATTGTGTGAATTCAACTACTTTGAACATAGAAGGCAACTTCCTCTTTTGTCTTTTCAATCTTTATGGATATTATTATAGTTTTGAAGATGGTAGAGTTTGATGATTTCCTTTTAAGATAGCCATGTCAATGGAGAAGTTGTACTCAAGAGAAGTTATCATAAAGTCGGCAATGGTATTATATATGAATAATATATTTTATGAATAAAAAAACTTGAATTATATGAAGATCACTAATTTCAAGAATTAAAGAGAGGTTTAGATGTAGTTTTGTAAGAAACTACTGTAAACTTATTTTAAAAACCACATTTATTTTGTAATTGAAGTATTTATAGTAAATTTGAGGGTTAATCAGCTGCCCAAATAATGTTGCAATACAGCAATTTAGGTAATATGATATTGATTATTTCTATGTATTTAGAAATTTTATTTGTTATACATTGCTAATGCCTAGTCCAAATTAAATTTTCATGAATTAACAAACCAAGAAATGTTGTTTCACTTTTTCTTTCATTTTTTTACCCATTTAAGAAAAACATCAACATTTATATGTCTTAATTTATTTCATGATGGATATGAAATATTATAAACTTTGATTTTTTAGTATTAATCAAAATATTATTTGCAGATAACCAATGGCTAATCTTAGTTAACTCATAATTAAATGTACCAAACAATAAATCAATATCATGATGAGCAGGGGAGTAAGGGAGGTGCAGCCGCACCCCCTAAGAAGGCACAGAAGTTCCACTGATGTAGGCCTGCCTAGCGCTACAATGGAAAATTTGCAGGGCAGCATGTAGAACTCGATTACATATAAACCTATGATATACCTAATCGTAAAACAAAATATAAACTAATTTTTTATTCCAAATGTAAATAACCACTACAGTAATTCAAAATAAATACAGTGTATTATTTTCCTTCCTTACTGTTTACGTGTCGGCGCTAATGTGCTCTCGTACTCGTGTGGCCGTCATTTCTTTCCACTAGGTGAATTCGCCTAAATTGCATTTTTTTTCCATTACATGCATGGGCAGTTCAGTAATTAACTACAAAGTTCTTTAATGCGCATGCTTATGACTATAAGCTAAAATTCATGATTCACACTATTGGGCGGACTCTATACAACTTTTTGTGCCAGTGGATTGCGACATGAAACGGACTCTGCTATATCTACACAGGAGAAAAATGTGCAATAAAGACTAGAAACATCACGCTCTTATTATTATTCTTAAACTTTGACAAAAAACTTGGTTAATGAGAAGAGCTTAATGAGAAATAGATTTTTGAATACTCTAAAACTTGGCGAAAATATGGAAAAAAAGGTTAGATCGTTGGAATTATCAAATTTTATTGACATTTGCCTCAAACTCTGTCCGAGCAAAAAAAAAAAAATCCTTAAACATCATTGTTCTGTACAGTACAGAACATAGCATACAGTACTGGGGAAACATAATCAAAGCAATAACCTAATGTAAATGACTGGGTTTTAAATGTTATCATAATTTTTAAAATACATCAAATGACGCCAATATATAAATAATGATGGTATTGTTAAAAATAGGTTAGTTGTTGGTGTCCTTTCAATGAGTAGTATAACACAGTTCCTTTTAGTACACTGCAAACTTTTATTCACACGAACTGTATGTGAGTTACAATCAGCTAAACTCCAGTTTTAGATGTTAGAGAACCCTTTTTGAGTGGAGTCAGCTCGGCTCTGTACTTTCTTCTGTGTACTCCTAACTACTAAATTGAATCTAACTACTGACTCAGTGATATGGGGGTGTTTGCCTATTAAACTTTAGGTAATGGGGGTGTGTCTCAAGTAAGTCACCCCATACTTTTAGAGTTTCTGATTGGATCATAGAGAAATTCTTTCTCTATGATTTAGTAACTTGTTTACCAAAAAACTGCTAATTAAGATGTATCACAAACTTCAGAGCACAGTATTTATTCATGGTACACTACATTTTAATTAAATGAATCCCGATTGTGAAAGTTTTGTACTTATTATCAAAAAAAGAAAAATATTGTAGTTTAAGATTAGAAGTGCACAGCCATGTTGATGTGCCGTCATCTTCATAGTTACTAATATCATAAATTTTATGCATTAATACCTAGGTATTCAATTTATTTTATTCAATTATAATTCTAATTTTTCAATTCCCAATTTATTTTACTTGAAAATCATATTATGTGGTGTAACCAAAAAAGCAAAGCTTGTAAACATGGCAGGCAGTCATAATAATAAGGCAGTGCACTGGGAACCATTTTCTTCCAATATTTGAAAAAAAACACAGACAAAAGGTCCAAACATTTTTTGCAAAACTCAAGTTACTAAATACTGTAATTTAACACGTTGACTGCCAGACTTTTTTTAAAGTTCCTTCCGATGTGCCAAAACAAGTTTACGTACAAATGTAGTTTTCTAAAATTTTATCTAGTCATACATCATCAAAATGATGTCTAATAAATTGTAGAGAAAACATTAGAGGGCGAGTATACCCGTCGACGGCACTGTGATATAATAATACTCTGATATAGCGTTTTATTGACTATGCTAAGTGCGAGTTATCTCGACCACCACTTTTTGCATGGGTTGGTATGTGTTCAAAGGGCGCCCTCACTTGTGCCGCTCGAGTGTACTATCGGCAACACAACACAACAAACATACATACGTCATTTGTACGTTATCGTCTAGGTGTATCTACCCCAAACCACCAGCCTTTGAGTCTGGTTCTACTGAACAATGTATAACAAAGAAGTTATAAACGCTATAATGTCACCCCAATTTTGACGAGTATACTCGTCCCTGGCATCCTCAGCAACACTCCTTTCGATTGCAGCCAACGTGCTAAACCTTTAAATGTTACTTATAAATTTATTTACATTGATCAAACATTACATCCTAATATCATTTTTAAGCTAGTAATCTAATCAACTTATTTGTGAAAAATATAAAGTTTTATTAATTGAAAATATTCTATTTAATATATAATTTTCTCTAAAATGTTTGCAATTATATACTATATTCCTTATATGTAAGTTTGGAAGATTGTCAGCTTATGTACTGTACGTTCACTTATGTACATTAATTTAAAAACAATCATAATCAGAGAGGCTGCAACAATCCTTACTTTAGGAGAAAGTCAATTATCATTTTTTTTCAATTAAATATTAACGAATTATATAAAGAGAATAATTAGACTATGTTCCTTTAAAGGCTTATCAATTGGTTTAATTAAAGTTATATGTAGGTATTGTAATTTTAATCAGTTTAAAAAATGTTAAGTCTTATAATCAGTCTTACATACTGTACATATCATATTTTATATTTTTAGCTCTAATGAGGAGCTCTAGAAATACTTGGCTGATTGATTAATTTATCTCTTTCATATGGGCGGCCGTTAGGACCGATATACTCTACTGCCTCTATTATACTGCCCTCATTGGAGCTTTCATTTTGTTTTATAATATAACAAGTATTATAATTGAGTCTGTAATATTATTGAATTTTTTTTTTTTTAATCTGTTTTACAATCAATTTGTAATTCCATATAAATAATTGTTGCAATGTTATAAAAAAAACATACATATCATTAGAATTGTGATAGAAGTTAATTCTTCAATTTTAATGTAAGACTGAAGCGCTATAAGACTACTGAAGGAACACGCTTGTACTCTGTAAAGTTTGAACTTTTATGAATGATTCTGGCTGTTGGTGGGCGCACAACCAGAAAGCTGAGCCAGCCCTACACTCACAGATGTATAAGAAGAGTGATTATGAAACATATAGGTATGTGTTTACTGTTAGAAAC